TAAATTAGGCCGGACTAGTGACTTATACGCCTGAGCCTTCACTTTTTCAGGGCATTGATGGAGGTTGCGCCTGAGAAATCCAAGCACCTTATTGGCTTTGGATACAATAGTTTGAATATGTGTAGTCCAGCGTAAGTTATTTGTGATGTCAATTCCTAGGTATGGGATGTGTGTTACCGACTTAAGGTTTTCCCCTAGCATGGTGTAATTGTGCATGATAGGGGATTTACCTTTGTGAATATTTAGCACATAGCATTTTGATGGATGGAATTTCATTTGCCATGTTGATGCCCAGGAGACCAGTTTATCAAGATTCTCCTGTAGTGTTAATGCATCTTGCTTGCTTTCGACTGTCATGAATAAAAGGCTGTCGTCGGCAAAAAGCTTAAGACTGGCTGAGGATGATAGGTTATTGCCCATATCATTGATATAAACAAGGAAACAGAGTGGTCCAAGAACTGTTCCTTGAGGAACTCCTGATTTTACTGGAGTTTTTGAACTTGATTCACCATCGAGCACTACCTGTTGTGATCTTCCCACAAGCCAGGATCTGAACCAGTTCAAGTTATTATTGCGAATTCCATAATAGTCGAGTTTGAGCAAGAGGCGTTCGTGAGCCACCGTGTCAAACGCTTTGGAAAAGTCTAATACCAACATGTCTGTTTGTTTATTGTTGTCGAGGGCCCGAGCTATATTCTCTATTGTATTGACAAGTTGTGTTTCACATGAGTGCTTTGACCTGAATCCATGTTGGAATTTTACTAGAATTTCATAGAGGTCAAAGTGGGCCATAACATGATGGAATATAATATATTCCATTATTTTACATGGAACTGACGTCAGAGATACAGGCCTGTAATTCACAGCCTCATCTCTTCGTCCCTTTTTGTAGATAGCAGTAACATTGGCATGTTTCCAGTCCATAGGCACTAAGCCTTCATCGATAGACTGTTGAAAAATTATTTGAAGGAATGGTGATATGCTGTCACTGCATTCCTTCAGGACCCTAGTCGGAATAAGATCGGGTCCAGTGGCTTTTGATGGATTTAGGCCAGTTAGCAATTTGTGAATTCCTTTTGTCGAAATTTTGATATTTGGCATTTCAGGAATTTGACTAGGTACCATTGTCGGTAGAGTGGCATCCTCATCTGTGAATACAGAATTGTATTGGTCATTGAGGATGTTTGCTTTCTGGGCGGCGTCTGTTATTTCTTCGCCATCTTTGTTACGCAGCACGCTGATACCTGATGCATCTTTGCGTTTAGACTTTATGTAGCTCCAGAAGCGTTTGGTAATGCCTTTGTGCTGAACATTCTCATTTATGATTTCGCTTTCATCAATGTCAAGCAGATCGTTGATGTAGCGCTGATGTTCTTTACGAATTTCACTATGGATTAATTTCCGTAGTGATTTGTATTTATGCCAATGATGAGGTTCATTTGAACGTTTGGCAACATTATATCGTCTTTGTTTCTGTCGGATCATTCTCAGTATCCTGGTGGTAATCCAGGGTACTTTGAATTTCCCGCTTAGAGTTTTACTTGGAATATGCTCATTGATTGACGATATTAATGTAGATTTGAAGGAGGACCAGTTGTCTTCAACTGATCTACTTTCACAGTTCTCTTTGAACTCGCTGAATTTAGATCGTAGAGTCTCTTTAAGTCCAGTCCATTCTGCCCGCTTGTATATGTGGACCTTACGAGGCTTCTTTTTCTGAATTTTCATTTTTAGGTTTATATCACATAGGACTGCCTCGTGATCACTCATGCCCGGAACCACCGAGATTCTTTCTGCGAGGTTTGGGCATGTAGTGAATACTAAGTCAAGGATGTTATTTTGTCTAGTTGGTTCCTTGACTAGTTGGGTTAGGCCATGATCATCAGTTATTGTAATCATCTTCTCATTAAGATCATTAGAATATTGAGAATTAGGCCTTATAGTTCCTTTCTCCCAATCGATGTCTGGTAAGTTGAAGTCTCCACATAGGAAGATGTTTTTCATATGTGTATTACCATTAGCATAAAGTTTATCGAGGGATGTTTGGAGCGAGTCCAAAGCACCAGTATCGTTGTTTGGTTGACGATAGAAGGATCCAAACAGTATGTCCCCATTTGATAGAGATGCTTTGGACCATATGATTTCGCAATCAGCTGTCGCTTCATATTCGACTGATATGAAGCCACTTTTGACTGCGATAAGGACACCGCCAGCACCTTTCTTTCGGTCTTTCCTGTATGGAGGTGGGCTAAGGTAGTCTTGACCGAATATCCATTTACTGTCGATGGTGTTGTCCAGGTGAGTCTCACAGCCTATGATGACATCTGGCTTGTGAGTTTCAATTAGTTGTTGAAGGTGTAGTTGCTTCTCATGACTAATTAGACTGCGGAAGTTGATAGACATGAGGCGAACCTGGTTTCGCCTCTTTCGTGCAGTCAGCCTCGGTGGTTCTGATTCGGTAGAATCAGATGATGATGACGAATTGTCAAGATCAGAGAGAGCGCTGAAGGAGTTTGTTACCGAGGAATGAGAAAGAGTGGAGTCATTGAAGAAGCTGTTGGAAAAATTAGGTAGGGCACATCCAGGACAGATCCAGGTGAAACTGCCCGCGTCAAGAAAAACATTGTACTCAGCAGGGGAAACATTGCCACATTTGATGTGTACCCATGTGCCGCATTCATCGCATTCAAGGGCGCGATGATTCTTGGCAACTGCTTTGTGGCACATACCGCAGGGAAATTTAACAGGACCTGGGTTTGGGTGGATGTCACCACTAAGAATAAGACATAGGAAGAGCAGTGGTGTGGAAGATTTCTTGTGAAGGATTCCACGAGAGCCAACAATCTTATGGAAACGTCGCAGTTGCATCAACTGTGTGTACGACTCTGTTGAAGGTAAGTGGTTTCCATGATCACAGAAAAATGACTGGACTGCGAAAACAAAGCAGAGAAGGAGCAATCCATATCCTTGGAAACCCATGACGAAGAGGTAGGTAGAACCCGTTAGCTGAAAATAAGAAAATTCGCGCAAAAATATGAAAAATACCGCGAAAACCGAATTTTGAAAAATACGAAAATTAAAACTGATTTATCCCCAAAAGGGGGTCCTGCTATAATTTAAATGTCGTTGATTATTAGAAGTAAGTATGTAAGTTATTAAAATCTGGAGGCTTTATCGAGAATAAATTAGAATTGCGCAGGTAATCGATGTAATTATGATTTAATTTTCGTAATTTCCTTCCTTCCTATCTATCCTTCCTATCCTTTCCTATTCTATCCTATCCTTCTTTGCTATTCTATCCTATCATTCTATCTTATTCCATCCTGTCCCTCCTTCCTATTTCATCCATCCATCCATCCATCTTTTTTCTGTTTTTGTTAACATTTTTTAACATTTTTTGTTTTTAGTGCAATTGTTTTTTGTTACTTTTTACCAATTCTTGGGAATGAAATAAAGTATCTTTCCAAAGCTTGTTGGAACAAAATGGCATATACAACATTTTTTAGACTTCCCAATATAATAGTTGTACAAATGAAATTTTGGTTGATTAACAAAAAGTATTCAAAAAATTAAAACAAAAACCACCAAAATAGATAAAAATTAAGATAAACCTTTTATTTCATGAACAAGATACTTTTTTAGAATCAACCAAACTTTCCTTTGTAAAATAACTAAATTGAGAGACCTAAACACGTTGTGTTTATGTCAGTTCCAATGACGTTCGGATAGATGTTTCATTTCATTCCGAACATATGAAACCAAGAACAAAAGAAGTGTCTGATGTGTTTTCTAAAACAATATAGAGAAAAGTATATATATTTATTTCAAATTATATTGTAACCATTCAAATGATGACCATTAAATTGACAATGTGTAAAATTTTCATAAATTTTACTGGTCTTTGACTGGTTTAAGAGAAACGTGTGTTCAAAAAGTTCACAATATTGATACCCATCCTCTCCCCTTAATTGCCTTCAGGACTGTCAGATGGCGAAAAATTCAGTAGGTTTAATAGCATACTTTTAAAATTTGCTCCAAAAATCTTTAAAGATAAATTTTATTGAAAACATCCAAAACCTATTGATTTTGAATCTTAAAAAACATGTTTGAAAATATTAATGAAGGAAAATATGTGATATTTATTCGATATATGTAGTGAATTTTAAAACAGCTAAATTTACACTCAAACCAAATGGGCCAGATCTGAACAACAACAGTTGTAATGCCATTTTTACAAGTACTGTCTCCCATTGCAGTTCAATCTTTATTGCTTAATATGAATTTTAAAACAGTATTTCTACAGTATAAACTCTTGAATCATTGATATATCATAGTTGTGTAAAAGTTTTGAAGCTAGCAGTTAAAATATCAGTTTGCGGATTAATGGATAAAAAAGATTTTGATGTATAATGACAAATGTGGTCCAGTGTGCCATTAAGGTATGCCATGCTCATGTTTATTGACTAATCTGCCCAATGAACTTGGGACATGGGTCTGTGGCTAAAGTTGACATTCGATCAGCTTAAACTTTGCCTATACAGAAAAGGCTCCTCCATGTGTAGCCCCATTGATGCATATTCCCTTCAAATGTTTGCCCCTGAAGGAATCCACATTTGATGTGGGGCTGCATCCCTTGCCCACTTGCCCGTTCTCCTTACAAATGTAGCACCTTGGTTCTCATTCATGCTGGCACTTGGTGATCTGTAACCCTGCATTTTGAGTTTGTGATTTTGTAATATTTGGTGATATTTTAGGGTCACACTTATATTAGAAAGGATTGGAAGTAATATGGTGAACTTAATTCAACATTGCTTTTTCTCTTAAACAAATTATCGAAAACAATCAATATCCTGCATGTATGGTCACGGAATGACAACAATTTAATGTGAAAATTGCTTATAACCTTTGTGATAGTTTCACTGCATTTTAAAAGAGGGATCTGTCTACAGTATTTTCCCCACAGGCATCTTGGTTACAGGATACATCTCTGTATACTTTCAGGTTCATTCAAAGTAAGAGGGATTGCTAACCAGATAAAACACCTGCCATCATCTGTTGAAGAAAATAGAAAAACAATTGTGACGATGTCTGCAGGAAATTATGGGAAAGCATTTGCATATGTGATGCAGTTGATTGGCCAGAAAGGTCTTTGTGTGATGCCTGAGACAGCTCCATTAAATAGGTCAGAACTGATTAAGGTATACTGAGCTGAAACAAGGCTTAATAGTTTTTGTTGATGATTTGGAAAGATTTGACAACAGTTGCATTTGATAGAATTGTTTCTCCAGTACATGTCAGTTTCAACATTACGTGCCAGCTCTATAGTAATTGTTGCATACTGTACTCCGGGTATTGTCCGCATGCAATTTAATTTCGCTTTGTTCACGAATGTAGTAAAATCGCGAACATTTATCGTCGCGAAAGGATTGGTATCAATATGGAGAACTGAATTCAACAATGTTTTTCTCTTAAACCAATTATTGAAAACATTCTGTAAAAAACATGGTCGACTGATTGACAACCGTGAATTTAATGCGAAATAATTTATATATATTTTATATAACTGTTTTTGTTAACGTTTTTTGCCTTTTAGTGCTATTGTTTTTTGTTCCTTTTTAGCATTTTTATTAGAATGAAATAAAACATCTTTCCGAAGCTTGTTTGAACAAAATAGCATATACAACATTTTCTTAGACTTCCCAATATTATAGTTGTACAAAGGAAATTTTGGTTGATTGAACAAAAAGTATTCAAAAAATTAAAACAAAAACCCCCAAAATAGATAAAAACTAAGATAACCCTTTAATTTCATTAACAAGATCCTTTTTTAAAATCAACCAAACTTTCCTTTATATAATTACAATATTGAGAGACATAAACATGTTGTGTTTATGTCATTTTGTTCCAATGAGGTTCGGATAGATGTTTCATTTCTTTCTGAACAAATGATACCAAGAACTAAAGAAGTGTTTGATGTGTTTTCTAAAACAATATAGAGAAAAGTATAAAAATCTATTTCAAATTATATTGTTAGCATTCAAAAGATGACCATTAAATTGACAATGTGTAAAATTTTGGATGACTTGTTTAGGAGAAACGTGTGTTCAAAAAGTTCGCCATATCGATACCCATCCTTTGTCATTTTTAATTGGCTTATTAGGCCGACAAAGGCAAGAACTGTTGATGACAATGATATCCTACAAATTGAAGTTGAAAAGGCCATTCAAGAATATTCAAATAAATGCCCTAAACGTGGGAAATACAAATATTCGGATTCTGAACGGGCAAAAATAGCCAGATACGCATTGATTCAACTAGTGTGCAATCCGCAAAATATCATCAACTCAAATCCGCGAAATTAAATAGCCACGAAATTGCAATTTTAAAAAATTTAGAAATTTTATAGCGTCAAAATTTACCAGGAGTACAGTATTGTTTTGATGATCTGTAGCACCGCCAGAATGAGGTAGATGCCCGGGTAGATGAGGCCCTTTCTTTGTCACTTTTTAACATCCTTTGAGAAATATTTATAATGATGAGTTGTAAATGAATTGTATAACTTTTATCAATTTTAATCTTAATAAAATAATGGTGCAGTAAATGGCATCAGCATCTCACTTTTCTTGTCTAAACATTTTCAAGAAAAATAGCTGGATGAATTGATATAAAAATGTCAGGGATTTTCTTTTTATTATGAAAATCTAAAACTGATTAGTAAGGTGTTCGAGGAAAGGAGCATTGTGGGTTTCACAGCCTTTACTCTTTAGGGACTGGTAAAACAGAAGGCGAGGGCCAATTTTTATTTTCAGGCATGATATTGGTACTTTGTGCTTTGTTATTGTTATGACAGGAAATTAATTGTCAGTGTATATGACTCTCTCAAGAAAAAAACATGCTTCCCATGGATTTCCATGAAAATTATGAGTACTTTATGGAAGTAACCATGAAAAACCATGAAATTTTCCATGGTATTTACCGTTATTCCATGGAAAAAACCAATGGAATTGTCCATGGTATTAACCATGGAATACTGGTTCTCCATGATTTTTGGTCATGACATATCTTGTTCAGGTATCTGCATTATAATATCATCCCATCAACGATTTTATTTTTTTAATTATATTAGAAAACCTAGGATACAAAGTTGCTAAAATATATCGGAGCATCGATCGGATAACGAAAGGTGAGAAGATTTCAACAATAAACGTTGAAACGATCGCTGAACATGTAGGCTGAGATTCAATCACCGATCGACAAGATGACCCGCTAGCCACTACATATACCTGTATATCTATAGGTCTTCGTGCATTTTCATCGCGAAATCAGTTTTAAATCAACATTGAATCGCATGATTTAATTTATATTAACTCTTACCTTCCAATGTACATTTAATTACATAATATATTCTAACTCTAAAGAAACACTCGATCAGATCATTGAATTTCAAATCGTAGATGGGAAGTCTGTTTTGTTTATGCAGTTCAACCTGATAACGTTTTGATTGGTCATTCAGCCTGAAGTCACACATCGTGTCCACGAGATATCTGTCAATCATTAAGGTTTCGCGATACCCCTGATAGGGCAGGTATTATGAAAATCTCGAAACCGTTGAATATTTCAGCGTAATAACAGTGGAGATGTAATGATTGGATTGTACAAGGCGGTAATAATTCAAGATCAGATAAGTAAAAAAATACCGACTTGGGCAAGGCTAAACGCCCCATCATAATATCGAAACGGGGATATATCAGTATCATAAACAGTTTAAATACTAATATGAATATTACATTTTTATGTAATATTTTAAGTGTACATTCCTTCCAAAAGATTTTTTCATTTCCTCTGAATGTTTAACGACACAATCACAGAGACCCTTCTCATACTTTATTTCCCTGGTGTTGGTTGTTTGGAGTGAATAGATAGTTTGGACTTTTAATGCTCTACTTGCTTTTCATGCTTTTCCTCGTTTTCCTCTTTTCCTCTTTGCATGCTTAATTCCCTTTGTGGTTTGCACTTTCACCTTTTATTGACTTTGTGTACCAATATTGATGTGGCTGAGTTAGAGTATTTTGGTAAGTGGTCCGAAAATGACTTTAAACTATACAAAATTTTTCCGGTTTATACACATGGTGTATAGTCTAAATAGTCCATTAATCCCATACCCTAAAGAGGTTAAACATAATTTTTTTAAATAAAATAAATAGACATATGATTTTTTTGAATAGTTTAATATACTGAGTAAATGGTATAGATATATGAATAGAAAAATAAAAAATGAAATAAATAAAAATGTTAACTATAAAAATGGAAAACAAATGAAAAATGCTAACTATAAAAATACACCGTATACTGAAGCGTTCATGGACTTGTTAATATAGTTCAGTCCAGTTATGTCTTATTGGAGTGTTTCCATGGACTAAAACGTTAAACCCACCTATGCCCAGTCGCAAGCCCGAGGAACCTGCTTTTATATCTTATGTGGATTTTTATCTTACCAATCATGACTTAAATATTAATATGGGTATTTCCTATAATTAATATATACTGGATTTTAACTTACCAAATATGACTTCAATATTAATATGGGTTTAAACCTATAATAAACTAGATGTATAAGAAGATTGCAAGCAATCTTACGGAGGCCCCGTAGGCTTTTTTGAACATTTAAAGGTCAGCCAAAGGTCAAATCTTAAAACAAGGTCATATATCAACTCCAGGCATCTTGTAGATGATTTTAAAAAAAAAGTTTGGTCAATTTGAAGCAATGTTAAATTTTACCTTGAAAAATTTCAACATTAGACCTTTTTCAGTTTTTGAGGTCCAATATCTCAAAACTGGGGCAGAATTTTAATAGCTAATCAATTGTTAATATGTGTAAAACCTTGAGAGGAATATATATCCTGACTTTAGTTCAAAAATATTGATTTGTAGTCACAAACTTTGAGAAACTTAGAAAACACAGTTTGTGATCTTGTTTGATGACCTTGACCTTGAAAATTTTACTTTTTTAGACCTCAGTATCTCTTTTCTGATTGAATAAACCTAAATTTGAATCCAGAAAATCAATTTGAAAAATCAACTTTTTGACATTTCGAAGGTCACTCAAGGTCAAAATAAAGGTCATAGATCAAAACTAAGGTCAGATTTGAGTTTCTGAGATCTTGTAGATGCTTTTAAAAAAAGAAATTGGTCAATTTAGAGCAGGTTGAAATTTGACCTTGAAAAATTTCGAAATTTGACCTTTTTTCAGTTTTTGAGTTCTAATATCTCAAAACTGGAGCAAAATTTTAGTAAATAGTCAATTGCTAATATGTGAAGAACCTTTAGAGGAATATATATTCTGTCTTTCAGTAAAAAAAATTGATTTGTAGTCTCCAATTTTGAGAAACTTAGAAAACACATTTTGTGATTTCGTTTGATGACCTTGACCTTTGACCTTGCAAATTTTACTTTTTTAGACCTCAATGGGTCTTTTGTGATCAAATATACCTAAATTCAAATCCAGAAAATCAATTTGAAAAATCAACTTTTTTGACCTTTCGGAGGTCACTGAAGGTCAACTAAAGGTCATAGGTCAAAACTAAGGTCAGATTTGAGTTCCTGAGATCTTGTAGATGCTTTTTAAAAAAAAGTTTGGTCAATTTAGAGCAAGTTGAAATTTTACCTTGAAAAATTTCGAAATTTGACCTTTCCTCAGTTTTTGAGTTCTAATATCTCAAAACTGGAGCAAAATTTTAATAAATAGTCAATTGCTAATATGTGTAGAACCTGTAGAGGAATATATATTCTGACTTTCAGTAAAAAAATTGATTTGTAGTCTCCAATTTTGAGAAACTTAGAAAACACAGTTTGTGATTTCATTTGATGACCTTGACCTTTGACCTTGCAAATTTTACTTTTTTAGACCTCAGAAGGTCTTTTGTGAATAAATATACCTAAATTTGAATCCAGAAAATCGATTTGAAAAATCAATTTTTTGACATTTCGGAGGTCACTGAAGGTCAACTAAAGGTCAAAGGTCAAAAGTAAGGTCAGATTTGGAATCCTGAGAACTTGTAGATGAGTTTAAAAAAAGAATTTGGTCAATTTGAAGCAAGTTGAAAAAAGACCTTTTTTGACCTTTTTTTGACCTTCAATATCTCAAAATCTAGGCAAAATTTCTGTAGACGGCAAAAGGCTAAGACTAATAGAATACTAATATCTATCTGTATGCAAAAATTCAGCCAAAAATATTGAAGTGTAGTGTCAGGATTTGAGAAACTTGAAAAAAACTTAGATTTGACCTAGATTTTGACCTTTGACCTTGACCTAGATAAAAATTCCTTTCCCGCCAAGTTCAGCCAAGGTCCCTAGTAGGTGCATATAATAGATAGTTGAAAGGTAGTTGGAAGTAGGAGAAAAAGGTTTAGGAAGAACTAGAAGATTGCAAGCAATCTTACGGAGGCCCTGTAGGCATTGCCAATTAGAAGGTCAAAGGTTAAATATCAAATTTAAGATCATATATGAACTCCAGACAACTTGTAGAT